TTGTTCGTCCAACACAGCCCGACCCCCACGCTGGGACCCAGGGGCAGAGGGTCTCCGGGGGGCAGAGGGCGGGGGACAGCAGGTGACATGGGCCACTGGAGCCCCAGCTGCCCTGCCTGATGGCCTCTGCGTCTTACAAGCTTGCTGAGAGGTGGGCCAGGCGTTTTAAAGGCGGTTTCTGCCAAGAAACCAAGAGCCTGCGCGTAGAAGTCTCCGTATATTAAATCCCCAGTAACTTTTAGCGTACACGCCGTATATTAAACGCGAATTTGAATGTACAACATGATGGGGCAGCTTTTCATCAGCTGAATGAACTATTCAGCCCTGATTGCCATGAAGGGGGGTGGGGGGAAGAAATCAAACACGCCTGACAAATCTACGTCAGGAGGGAACCGTAAAAAGATACAGTCAAGATAAAACCTTACGTGAGGAAGTTAACTGCGAAGAGTAAATCCTCACAGCTGAAGGACGAAGTACCTGTAGGCAGCAGTGCCGTCTGCCGCGTGGCGTTTAAGAGAAGCTAACGACGTAAATGAGGTTGCTGAAACGGCCTCGCGACGGGAAGCTGCCCCGGCGCGCCGTACGCGGGAGCGAGAGAGGAACAGGCTCCCCGCGTCTGCGTTGGCTTGGAGGGGCCCGCACGGCTGGGCGGCGCGGACAGACCGAATGCCCGGTGCAAAGAGCTATCGCACTTCAGCCGCGCATGGCAAGCGGCCGAAGTGATTGTCACCTGGGCCTCCACATATCACCACCCTGTCATGGCCTGCGTACATTTTACAGCCATTATAACCTAATCTCAGCTAATGTGATTTACACATAGTAATTAATGGAGCTTCAGCTGTAAGGAAATTGGTCATTCAATTTGAGTTTAATTTACTGCACATGCATACATTAGGAAGCACAAATTCCATAGCTGTGATCTGGGCACGGAAAAAGGGTTGTGTGCCAGGAATGGAAAAATAAAACGCCCAATAAACAATACACCACCGGCTTCCCACAGCTCCCGCTCTCCTGAAGGGTCTCCTTGATGGGAGGATGGCACGCAAATAAACCCAGGCATCTCAGTACGGATGCTTGGCGGTACGAAGGCAAAGTCCCCGCTGCCACTGATATCCCGTTTCCCAGCTGCGGGAAACATCAGCCCGGCATATTGGTGAGTATGGCCTCATGCTGATCCCCGCGCACGTTTGGGGTGTGTATCCATCAGAGAGAGCAGGGTGGGTTGATAGGGCATAATGGTACGGGGTATTAAGGCTACAAAAGATGCTGTCCCTGAGGCATACACTTGAAAAACTCCAGCGGTGGAAAGCCATGCCTAAAAGCCAGAAAACCTTTCACAGCAAGGACAGCTTTTCATTTTCAGCCAGCTTAAATTAAAGGTGGCCTCATACCAGCCTGGCTTTTGGAACATCTCATAACCGTGCCCAAGCAAAGCCAAAAGCAATGCCCGGG